TGGACTGGTTTATACTGGTTTATACTGGGCTGGACTGGTCTGGACTCATTTGGATTGGTTGGAGTGGGTTGGACTGGTTTATACTGGTTTATACTGGTTTATACTGGTCTGGACTGGTTTATACTGGTTTGGACTGGTCTGGACTGGTTTATACTGGTTTATACTGGTTTATACTGGTTTATACTGGGCTGGACTGGTTTGGACTGGTTGGAGTGGGCTGGACTGGGTTATACTGGTTTATACTGGTTTATACTGGTTTATACTGGTCTGGATTGGTTTGGACTGGGTTAGACTGGGCTGGACTGGGCTGGACTGGTTTATACTGGGCTGGACTGGTTGGAGTGGGTTGGATTGGTTTGGACTGGTTTGGACTGGTCTGGAGTGGTTTGGACTGGTCTGAACTGGTTTGGACTGGTTTATACTGGGCTGGACTGGTTGGAGTGGTTTGAGCTGGTCTGGACTGGTTTGGACTGGTTTGGATTGGTTTGGACTACTTTGATCTGGAATGGACTGGTCTGAACTGGTTTATACTGGTCTGAACTGGTTTGGACTGGTTTGGATTGGTTTGGACTGGTCTGAACTGGTCTGGACTGGTTTGAGCTGGTTTGGACTGGTCTGGACTGGTTTAAACTGGTTTGGACTGGTTTGGAATGGTCTGGACTGGTTTATACTGGTCTGGACTGGTTTGTTCCCAGTTTGATCCAATAAATCCCAGTCTGGTTCTGAAAAATCCAGGATTTGTGTCTTTGCTTGGGGAACTGGTTGCGACTGGTTTAAACTGGTTTATACTGGTCTGAACTGGTTTGAACTGGGAATTCTCCCATTTAACCCTTTAATGTCAATAAAAAACCCGAAATAATCTGAAATTTCACCGATTTTTGGGATTTTGCTCATCCCATTTATTATCCCAATCTCCAGTTTGGACTGGTTTGAACTGGTTTGGACTGGTTTGGACTGGTTTGAACTGGTTTGAACTGGTTTAAACTGGGAATTCTCCCGTTTTTAACCCTTTAACGACGAGAAAAAAACCCGAATTAATCCGAAATTTCGCCGATTTTTGTGATTTTGCTCATCCCATTTATTATCCCAAACTCCAGTTTGGACTGGTCTGAACTGGTTTGAACTGGTTTAAACTGGGAATTCTCCCATTTTTAACCCTTTAATGTCAATAAAAAACCCGAAATAATCCGAAATTTCGCCGATTTTTGGGGTTGTGCTCAACCCATTTATTATCCCAAACTCCAGTTTGGACTGGTCTGGACTGGTCTGGACTGGTTTGAACTGGTCTGAACTGGTCTGAACTGGTCTGAACTGGTTTAAACTGGGAATTCTCCCATTTTTAACCCTTTAATGTCAATAAAAAACCCGAAATAATCCGAAATTTCGCCGATTTTTGGGATTTTGCTCAACCCATTTATTATCCCAAACTCCAGTTTGGACTGGTTTGGACTGGTTTGAACTGGTCTGGACTGGTTTGAACTGGTTTGAACTGGGAATTCTCCCATTTTTAACCCTTTAACGACGAGGAAAAAACGAGAATTAATCGGAAATTTCGCCGATTTTTGGGGTTTTGCTCATCCCATTTATTATCCCAAACTCCAGTTTGGACTGGTCTGGACTGGTCTGGACTGGTTTGGACTGGTCTGAACTGGTTTGGACTGGTTTAAACTGGGAAT